TAACTTGGTAATAAGAAGGCGAAGACACACCATAAACGTTAGACATTCGTTCATGAATCTCCTTAGGTGCTTTCCCTTCTTTGGTGAGGAATTTGATCACTGAACGATGTTCGACTTTCGTCAAATCCATGACACAGACTCAGGAAAAGAAATCTAATGCACTACCACTTTGAACGGACTTGAGCCACTGAGCTGGTATAGTGGTGGGGCACTCACGAGACCTGTTGAGATATGTCACAGCAGGCACAGGCCTGTTGTTCATCCCTTTCATATTCAGGTAGATAACTTATTGAGTGGCCCTCGTACATTTTTAGGGAAAGGAAGCCCATTAAAAACAAACCTCGGGCGTAAGAAACTGTAACTGGAGTCTTATTTCCAGATGCATCGTCTGCAGAAGAATGTGGTGGCAGCGGGAATCCTCGCCCTGGTCATCGAGATCTTCACTAAATCCCAGGTGTCGTCAGGCCTGTTTCGTTCCTACTGCCTCTTCCTTCAGGGGACCTGGTTGTGTCAGCTTGGATATGCAATTTATTCGCCATGGGAGAACGACTGGGACCTGGCAAGCGATCAGCATCTCCCTGTCATCACCGTCGTCTTCATCGCACACCTCTTCTTTGGGTTTCTAATCACTATGGGTCTCAACTGCCTCGTCATCAAGTTGCAAGAGGTCGAGTACAGAAGGAAGTCTTACATCCTTGACGCCCTTAAGGTCCAGGTGAGTTCTCTTCTGCCTTTCTCTAAAATCAAACCAATTCCATTCAGTTTCTTTTGTTTAGCGTCCTCTGTCTTTGAAGAATGTATTGTGGCTACAAAATCCATTCGCTTCAGCGTGTACATATTTGTGTGTGAGTGCGTGGATGTATGTGCATCTGGGAATCTCTCTCCCCGCACAGACTTTCGTCACTGTGCGAGAAACTTATAAATTCGAAATTTGGTGAATTTTCATTGAACCTTAAAATTACTTTAAACCTTATATCTACTTACTTTTAAATCATCAAACCAATGAAGGAACATTAGAGGGTCACGCTGAAAGTTCGTAGCTGCTCATATACTACTGAGGATTTTAGCTGAGGATTCACTGCTTCTCAAAATAAGCACCCCTAGCATCTATGCAAATTTGCATTCGTGAAAACGAAGAATGAAAGCAGTTGCACCAATCCTCCTTGACAACGTCAACCAAAGTGTACCAGGAAGGAAACGCACCATCTTCAGAGTTCCAAAATCGGCGGCCACGGAGTTTTAATTTGTACTTAGGGCACAAGAAGTTAGAAGGGGCCAAGTCGGGTGAATAAGGAGGATGTGACCATGTTTGGACATGTTGACTGACTAGGAAGTACAAAGTTTTATTTCCTGTGTGCGCTACTGCATTTTCACGATGGAACAACAAATCCCGAAGAGCGCTAGGTACGTTGATGATGGACAGCCTCAAAAACTGCAGGTAAACAGAGAGTTGCGTACCAATCTGAATTTACGGTGGCACGGTCTTCAAGAGAATGATAGTAATGTGGCCAGTACGAGAGAAGAAAATGGCTACCATTTGCTTCCCGATATTGTGGGGTCGACGGACTTTGGTCCGCGTTTTTCCGCTAGGAAAAAGACAAATTTTGCATCGGCGTTTCGTTCCTGGGTCAAAGTCATAAATTAAAATTATCCAAGTTGTCCTCCAGTGACAAGATCTAACACGAGCTTTGAAGGTCCCTGGTTCTTGAGCTTGTCATGGCACCATTTCATCCAAATGTCTTTTTACAAGCTTGACAGGATGTGGGGCACCTAATGGGAAACAACCTAGCGAAGCCCCAAATGCCCATGCATAATGTCAGAAACAGCAGAGGATTCAATGCTCAAATGATTTTCTACCTGCGTATAAGCAAGTCGTGGGTCTTTAGCAAACATTTTCTGGACCAAGCTAATTTCTTCTGGTGTTACTGTAGTTGGAGTTCGACCTTGTCGGGATTCATCTTCCATGGAGACTCGACTCCGTTAGTATTCACGGGACCATTTAGTAACTGTAGGAATGTTAGTTTCCTCACCCCATGCCTCCACCAGGCGCTCATGAGATAATTTAAAATCTAACATAACTCGGAGGTAATGAAGGATCATCCAACCGAAACCTTCACGAGTGACCATCTTCAAATTTTAAGGACGTAAATGTTGCGATGGGAAAACTGGAGAACAAATCTTCAGCTTCTTGAGGTACGGCCACGAAAATTGACAGCTGGCCTAATGGACTGTGATAGGTTAGGTGATGTTAAGTGATAAACAGGTTAAGTGATGCAATTATCAAGATTCTATGCCTATGCATTCAAGAGTAGCTTCGAACATTCATAGTGACCCTCGTATAAATAGAAAAAATAAATAATAAAAAAAAAAACAGAAATAGATATGTTAAGAAAAATTCGGTCAGAGTGGAGCGGACAGTCGCCCCTCCGCCAAGCTACGGAGCAGGATATTCCCATGCGAGCCCTCCAGGCATTGTCTTCATCAACCTTCAAATTTCTACTGACTATACTGATAGAAGACTCCCTACTAGAGAAGGTTTTCGCTTTTTTTCAGAGCGAGAAGGTTCCATTGATCAATGGGGAAAACCAGGTGATCAAGAAGGACTTTATGAGTCTGGCAGTCGTCCTGGGATTGTGCTTTTTCCTCATAGCCTACCGAGCCTTAGTTGCTCTTAAAGTCCTCCAATGATTTCAAAAATAAAAATGAAAGAGTCAAAGGTATCTGTTTTTACTCCTCTTTGGGAGCGCAAAGATTTAAGGTACGCATGTGTACATATAGTAATAAGGACTAGTGTTCTATGCCTCTTTGGTCCTTCCTTTTCTGATTCTCACAAATCTATTTCTATTTGTTTTCGAGTTCAACGTTTGTCAGATAACATTTATTGTTACAGTTTACCTTAGTCGACACCACTAGAGATGAGTGTTGATCTGGTGGTAAAACAGAATCTAATGAAATGGGCCTAGAGAACCCTTCATGGTTCACTCGAGTTGGAATTACATTTGAAGACATTCTCGAGACTTGGAAGCTAGAACCGACGGCATGAGTTAAAAGATTAAGAAGTGTCATGGCTGTGAAGGCCTTACCAGACGAGTTACTCGGTTTTCAGCCACAGAATTCCATTTGGCTTGAGGACTTAGCTTATAATGGAAGCAAACATTGTATTTACTGTATTTTTTGCTTGCTAACAAGCCTCAGAATTGCATGCATTTCCCCCTGGCATCAGATTTGTTTCATCTTTCACAGTTAACCCACCCTCTTGTAGACGATTGAAAACAATGTCATTAATTGGAATTATGACAACTTCCAAATACCTGTTCATTGACTGGAAGAGGTATGTCGAACAGACAGAAGCGCTGCAAGTTTCAGGACCATTATTCAAGCTACAATGGATGCTCATAGATAATTTAGATTTAGCCTAATTTGAAGACCCAGTGAGGCTTTGTCTGAGACCATTCCATGAATTTTTTAGAGCCAATGGACAATGTGTCAATTAGATGAGGAACTTTAAGCAAAAAGGAGTGGCTTCAGCTTCAAGAACGTAGTTGAATTTTTATATCTTTGAGTGAAGCCTACGCGTGAATAAGACATGAAGTCTGGAGAGTCACATTACGAATGGTCACACTTACGCCATAGATGTGATCACAATTACTCCTGATGTCCAATTTTACGAGGAAAGTGTGATCAGTCTTCCTATGCCCAAGTTTAGCATGCATGAAATTCCGAGAGGGACTAGTTGGAAAGAGCATGGAATCTTCTTTGCCATGAAACAAAAAAGGGAATTTTATTATACAGTACTGACCGTATAGGGAAAGTTGAATGAGGTACGCGAGTTAAGTACTAGAGTTTGAAGAGGGTACACATATTCAGTGAAATACGAGGGGCGTAACGAAAGTAGTGAGCCCTTATTTATTAGAGGAGAGCCACTATTCGGACAATCTTTAGATTTTATTCACAAAAAAATATTATGTATCCGCTACTGATGGACATCGGGAATTTCATTGTTTATGCCCAGATGGCAGCACAGTAGCCATTGAAAATGTCACCTACTGGTGACATTTTGGTGTACTGAACCAAAAACCTCTGATAGAGTTTCTCACAAAAGAATATGTAACCCAGGAAAACATTCATGTGACTGCAGAATGCGTACGGTGAGTCTAACAGTTATGCAAGTGTGAAACGGTGGGTTCTGCATATCAACAGTGGAAACAGTGATGTCGAAGACAACCCACATTCAGGCAGGCCATCCAGCGCTGTGACACATGACAGCAAACACTATGCCCTCCCTCCCTGACTGTTACGTGACGAGCAATGCATGACATGACTCGGCTCGCAGATTCTCGCCTTTAGATTATTCATTCTTCTCAAAGAAGCAAAGAATCTGATATCCCACGCACAGAAATCAGCAAATCGAAATGATACACTTCGGTCAATTTCCGAATTCCTATTTATTTTTTAAAGAGGAAAAGGCACCAACAGGAATTTCGATTCATATCAGTCTCTTTCAGTGGCGGCTCGTAATATTTAGCGCTAGTGGTTCGTCTATGGAGAGGGGGTAGGCAGCGCCCTCCCCTGCCTACCCCCTCTCCATAGACGAACCACTAGCGCTAAATATCACGAGCCGCCACTGGTCTCTTTCCAACCGTGCCGGGTCACCTGAAAGGCGTCTGCAAAACCGAAATGCACCGAGTCAAGAAAGTTTGAGAGGCCTTGCAACGCCGAGGCGCGTGTCGACCTTCGTCTTCTACTTCAGAGTGTCAAAGGACCCCATTAATACACCAACGGGCAATGCATTGACTGTTGGCATGAGATTCACACTCAAGCACGTGCGCGAGAGGCCAGGTGTGAGCGCATGGCTTCTCCGCCTTATCACCTTCCCCCCCAGACCTGTGTTCGTAGCTAGTTCGTCTTTCAGGGATTCCAGTGTGATCGCTTCTTCCATTTTTCGAGCTCATTTACTATTGTGTTTGTATTTGGTTTCGTGCATTGGTGGTGCGATACGTATCGCCAGTAGACTAAGCTTCCAAGCTTAAAAACCTATGCTACTTGGGCTGTGCTGGTTTCACTTATTTATTAATTCAAAATTTCTCAAAGTAGTTCCCACCAACTTCAATGGTATGGGTCATCCAGTAAAAACAATTCTCAAAGCAAGACTGCGATTCCTCAAAAATGACACTATCCAAGACCTCAGTAGCAGTTCATGAGGTCATCAAGTGATGGCACATCTTCACTCTCAAGCCTTCGTCCCCAGTTCTTTGACCTTGGGAAACAAAAAAGAAGTCACATAGAGGCATGTCCAGTGAAGAGGGTGGATGTGGAACCACCTGGACCCCACACCAATCGTGCAAAGACTCAACAGTTGTGGCAGCATAGGCGGGGTTGGCGTTGTCATGGTGCAGCACGAAGCCATAATGTTCAGTTTCAATATGGGTATTATTGAGCTCCTGAAAGACTGCCGGCAGGCAGACAACAACATACCCAACAGAAGTCATTGTCTCCTGCTCCATAAGTGGCACAATCTTCCTGCTACATCCCCTGAAAAGATTCCGATGGATCGAAGGGAAAAAGAACATAATCTCCAAATTTCGGTTTGGAAAGGAGGCTGGAGACTCCAAGAAACGAATCTGGGATATATTAGGGGAGGGGGACGAATTGGCCGCCCTGGAGCAATTCTATGAGTATCTCTACCGACTCTTCGCTGGTACAAAGATGCACGCGAAGGAGGGAGGAAGAGTACTCAAAAGAGAAAGATTCAATGTAGATAAGAAAAAGGACGACAATGAGGAAATCCCTTCGAAGATACCGGCAGGTGGATTCGGAATTGACCAGGAAGGACTACGTGATGACGAAGAAAGTATATCAAGAAGCTTGGAAACTGGAAAAATAGAGAAAAGAGAGTTGGAGTTATACGAAGCAATAAAAAAAAGGAAATGAGAAAAATCTCTTGAAACTAATGAAACTCTTCTAATAAGGACCTATCTCTGGGCTGCACGAGAATTCCACCCTTGTCTCAACTGCAGGAACACTTTTCCTAGACCTTCTGTTTGGACTCGACAATTATTGTAAAGCAACTTGAAAATGGTACCTTAGAAGAAGGGAATTTGATGCTTGACAGGAAATCCGGCAAGCAGAAGTGAAAAAGGCCGTTTTGCAGATGAAAACAGGCAAAGCTGCAGGGGACGATGGCCTCTCTGCAGATATGTTTCGAATACTTCAAGAAGACTTGGAGACCATTGCCCAGATATTCACGATGACGTATGAGAAATCCATCTTCCCAGAATGCTGGAAGAGGAGCTTGATAGTCCCGCTGTACAAAGGGAAAGGAAATCCGCTTGAGGCAGATAACTACAGACAACAGCTTCAAATGTTATAAGCAAACTTTTGACCAGTATCGTAAAGGAGTGACTCACTACGTGGGCAACCCAAGAAGGAGCAGTGCCCCAAGAGCAATTTGGATTCATGAAGGAAAGGTCCACCACAGACTGCGTCTTAATTCTTTACACTCTAGCTCAGAAGACACTCAGGAATAAAGGAAAGTTATATGTAACTTTCATAGACTTTCAGAAAGCCTTTGACAGGGCGAGGAGAGAGCTACTGTGGAAGAAACTGAGAGATCTGAGAGTATCAGAGAAGGTTATTAGATGCATGAATGTATTCAAGAAGGGACCACGGCATCAGTGAGGGTGGATTAATGAAGATGCGGAGAGATAAAAAAAAATAACATTGGAGTCCCCCAAGGATGTCAATTGTCGCCTCTGCTCTTTGTACTGTTTCTTCACGACTTACCTGGATGCTTAGCAGAAGATTGCTATGCACCCTCGATCAAAAACACGGAGATACTCTGCATATTGTAAGCAGATGATTTAGCTATCATGTCATTGTCTCCAATAGGACTAAAGAGAGCAATGAACCAGCTGCTAAAATACTGTGAAAAATGGGAGATGCAAGTCAATCAAAATAAGACGAAAGTGATGGTGTTCAGCAAAGGGCATAAAGATGAAGAAACGGAAAGTGGTTCTAGGGTAAGGAACAATTAGAAGTAGTACCTACATTCTCATACTTAGGAATCGTCCTCTCTCACACAGGGAAATGGAAAAAACACATCGAATATGTGAACGTAAGAGAGCACTACACTCCTTGAATACCTTGGGAAAGAAAAACTCAAATAGTTCATGTAGTCTCGCACGTATGCTGTTCGACGCCCTTGTCACCAGCAAAGTTTTATATGGAGCGGAAATTTGGGGATCTTGAGAACACGAATAAATATCAATAGAAAAGCTGCACGCTTCCTTCAACACAGCCATACTTCTGGAACACGAAGAGATGACATGATGTCCATACAGTGGTGCAGGATGGTTAAATACTGGATCAGTCAGATCTCATACTTACCCAATGGTTAAGGAATGATACGAGTTGCAAAAAAAGTGGGAAGGGGGCAACTTTCGGAAAAGATGCAAAAGGAATATCAGCATCGACTAGGATTCTCATGTGTGGCATTTCGGACCAGAAGGAAACTGGTTTTTAACGGAATGCAAAAGGAAATGCATGGATATCAGCTTCCAGCAGCAACGAGCAAAAATAGAAGCCAAACCAACATTGAATATACTCCAAAGAATGAAGACCTGCCTTGGCCCGGAAAAATATCGAGAAAGATACAAAGGATACCGACGAGCTATTGCACTGCCAAGGTTAGGGGCCTGGAAGTGGAAAACAAAGACAGGAGTAGTTCTCTGTCTGCCCTTGGTGTGAGAAGGAGACCGAACTGCACATTTTATCTGAATGGACGGGATACGAAGATTTGAGGGGAAAATACCCTTCAACCTGGAACCATGAAGGCCAACGCCACTACGAACAACTGCTCTACATCATGGATTAGGAAGGACAGCTGGTGTGCCTTTTGCAGGAAATTTGGCAGAGGAGGAAAGAAAAACTGACTAGTGAGAAAGAAATAGGAAACCCTGTGACTCCCACTTATTAATTAATTTGAAAGAAATTTTTAAATCAATGGCGCCTTGAAGTGCTGCATGCATGTGCATGTAAAGAAGCACATAAATGAATGTTAATTCAATCCGATTCAACAACATACCCATCAGAAGTCATTGCCTTCTGCTCCATATGTGGCGCAATCTTCACCAGGCCCCTTTGGCGGAAGAAATCTGCAACCGAACACTTTACGACACTGCGATCAAACAACTTTTGTGGGAAGATCTTCATCTTCGATGACCAATTCCTTCGATTGCTGCTGTATTTCAGAGTCATAAACGTACTTCCAAGTTTCATCAAATGCAATGATTTGAGACTCCAACTTCGACAGCCCGGTATCGAATTTTTTCGACATGAATCGATCCCAGTCCACTCAGGCATACCTTTTGCTCAGGTGTCAACAAACGAGGGATCCATTGACTTGACAGCTTCCGCAAGTGCATATGTTCATGTAAGATCGTTTGTACTCTTGCCGATCCTATGTTCAGTTCCTTCATGAATTCACGCACGGAAATGTTTATTCACTCCTTCACCATGTAATTCCCCAGTCAAACATTTTCAAACATCAAGGCCTCTAATGATCACCCAGCCAGAGGATCATCATTTTCAAATGACTGCCGACTTCGCTTGAATTCTCTGAACCAGAATCTGACAGTAGCAAATGATGGACCAGATGAGCGAAATCCCATTGCCTTCGGATCGAATTCCTACCACCTTCCCAGGGGACAGCGGAGAAAAGGTATGGAATGGAGAACGAGACCGAAATGCATCACATGCGAACACGTGGACACAATCGAATCAATGCATTTTGGTCATGAAAAAATCTTTCCTTCAAGTGATGCGTTTTAATCGCATCGAAAATTTGATGCAATTAAAACGCATCACACGGAGGACAGATTCTTTCACGATCGAAATGCATGCAACTTGATGTCCTGAATATTCGGTGCGAATTGTTCTTCAGCCTCCGTTATTCAGAGAGAAGAAACGGCACTCACTACATCAATAAAGGAAAATTTTTTCTCGAAAAGTTATGCGTATCCAGAGTGTAGCTTTTAGAAGACCTAAACAACAGTGTCAAACATAAAAATTCTGACAGGAATTTTTACATGCACGAGCAAAGTTGACCCTTCACCTCCCAAGACGATCAAGTTCCGCATCCTTTTCCTCAAGGAATTCTTCCCTTCTTGAAGTCGTCTCTCTCCTCCTTCTCGTCTTGTGACAACAGTATCCTCTTCTCCTGTAATGGCAGTGCAGACGTTCATTACAATTGATAGACAAAGTATTACAAGCCAACAAAACCAGTGATTGTGTAGTAATGCGAAAACCAATTATCAAAGGTTTTACCTTTCATTATTTTTCTCAACCTCTTCTACCTGCTCCTCGACCTCACCTCACCTTTCCCCTTCTCTACGGAACTCACTAACGTTAGGCCCAGGCCTAAACGACGGACTGTCTTCGGGTCAGGCCTTGGCTTACCTTTTTTCGTTCAAAAGAAATTCAATCATCGAGGATTGAGTAGGTCGATCGACCTACGGAACAATTAGGCCTATAAGGATTAATCCCTGGTCTTCGAGACACCTCGTTGAGGACGTGTAACGTTAGGCCATTCGCAGGCTTATTCATTCTCTTGTGGCCCATTTAACAGAGAACGTGTAACGTTGGACCGAATGTACGTCTTCGAGTTTCATGAACCATTTCAATGCAGTTCGGGAACATTAAGCCTATCCAGAGTTCCTCGAATCGTCTCGACTCGTTCCGAGAAGAAAATACCTTTATGTGCAAATCACCGTTTCAATCTCAGCTCATCCCATAAATTCAGCACAATAATGTCTCCTACATTAAAAAGAGAATATCCAGAAAACGATACATAGGTTGAAGAAGTCATGAATCTGGCAAAACTAAGGCACGGTATCCGGCAACCCTGGAGGATGGGACTGGAGCCATCGCGCTAAGCCGAAATTAACGAAATCTAATTTCAATTTTTATGGCGAAATGGTCCACTGGAAGCAACAAAAATATACTTTTTGTCACCTACAAGTCAATATCTTTCGTTTGGTAGTTCTCTTTCCTCCAAAAACTTCCTAGGAGCGGCTACCCAGGGGGGGGAGGAAAAAAAATACCGGAATGATATTGACATATCCTAAAAGCGAGATTCAGTGATCTCAACAACCTCGGGGAGATGAAGCTTCAAATTTGCTGGAGTGATTCTATGTTGAGAGAGGAAGAAGTATGCAAAATTTCGTTTCTGTTGATGCTCTCAGAGAGGAATACGAGACGGTTGAATTTTATCACCAGATGGGGTTGAAGAAGGGTAATGGGCGTTACCGCACCCATTGATTAGATTCTTGCAAAAAAAAATGAATTTCAGACGAATTGGAGAAACTTCATGTTACTGCAGATTAGTAATTTTGTCCGAACGGAGATACGACGCAGTTTATGTTCCATTTTTTCCAATGTCGACAGAAGGTTCAGAATGTCTCTCAAATGCAAAAGTGAAATAATAGTGTTGTTCCTACGTTGTTGGAGAAAAGGAGGCAATTTCGGTATACGTGTCCCATTCATTTTGAGTCACTGTTGATAAAATTCTGATGGAAAATGAGTGACCAGTTTGGCCCAGACTTATTTACTTAGACAGCATATCCTCCATTTCATGCTCATTATAGTAATTAAATGCAAATGTTTTATTTCCTCTGCAGGCAATAATGTCTCCTGGCGACTTGTATTAGCTTCTTGATAGCTTCTTAAAATGATAATCATATTATTTTTTCTCATTCGTCCAGTTCCTGAAAACATGACAGGAGCTGCACCTTAATGTGCCGAGAGCTTATTATGATATTAGAGTTGATATAACTGAAAAGAAGCTGCTGAGTTCAGTTCGTTTTTGCACAGTACATTTTGTCAGAATTATCTGTCTGTGCCTATTTTCATATTGAATATCTAGGGGAAGGTGGGGCAAAATAGGCCAACACAGATTTTAACTAAATCATACCCGATATCTATCGGCTATTTACCCTATTATAACAACCTACCACGCGTGCAAGTTTTCAGGCACGGCGGCGCTCTATGAAGTAGTTTGTAAACACCCTAAGAGCAAAATAAGAAAACGAGTAGCATGGGAACAAAGGAGGCGTCCGATATGACCTCGAATGGTTGCGTCAAAGAGAAAATCGTGCTCCATCCCAAGATTTCTTGCCTAATTTTCATAATGAACATTTGTAACGAATAATTGCAACATGCAATTATGCTTAGATTTTTTGCGCTCATGCCATACCCACCCTCAATGCCTCTGAGTCGGCTTTGGTTCGTGTGTTCCATTCGCTGCGCCACTTGGATGTCAGAAGGCTGGGCATTTCCAGTGAATACAAATTTGGCAAATTAGTTGCGTTGCAAATGCAAATCGTTACATTTCTGTTAGACTGGCAAGCTTCGATTGAGGCTACGAAATATGTTCGACCCCATGACGAAAAAGAAATGGAGCCCGGTTAGGTGGAAGAGGAAGTGGGCCATGCCCTTGGGCCATAGTCTACCGACGTACGTCGTGTCAAGGTTTCCCTGCTCTCCCATAGCCTGAGGATATGAATGTCTTTCCCGGACTTCTCACTGAGTGAATTCGTCATGGGGTCGAACATGGTTTGCAGCTCAAAATAAAACTTGACCGGAAAAAAAAAACCATATAAAGAAGGGTAGTTCGGATTGGAATAACAATCATTTCTGCAATTCGCATACATTTTGCTCATTTTGGCGGCATCAACCAGGACGATTGCATTTCCATTTCAAATCGATTGCATTTGCACTACCTCGTTCGATCCGAGCCATCGAAGGCCGATCGAAAGTTTGTGACTTCGCTTCCCTCGGTCTCCGATTTTTCTCGATTTTTGGCCAACTTCATCGGAATTTGCCTTCGGGCTTTTTTCACGGGTTTCTCGACGGACTGGCGGATTTTCTTCTCTGCTATTTCTTTGCTATTCTATTCAGTAGTCTTTTTGGGACAATAATGCAATTGACGGTGAAATTTTTCCATCTTACTGAGCCCGGGGGGAGAGTGAAGGCGGAGGGGAGGAGGGTGGTGGCAGGGAGGAGGGGAGGGGAGTGGAGGGGAAGGGGGGGGGGGGGGAAGAGGGCGGAGAACAACGGTCTCACTCGCGCGAAGGCCCACTCCTTGAATCGCACACGGATTCTGACAATGCAAGAAGCACATAAAGTTGAGAGGCGGGGAGACGCTATGCGACATCTATAAAACATTTTCGCACTAGCTCAATTTTGAGGAAAATTAGGACCCCTCAAATAGCGTGTTAATGAATTGCGCTCACCAAAAAAAAATTCATAGAACGTCTTTTCTAAGTCTGAGAAGGGCTTGGCAGCCTCTCTTTTGTTGAAGTTTTTTCTGACCCTGGTAGGTGTCGTTGACTGTAAACATTCATAACCTCTTCCAATTTGCACATCAACGGAAAATCTTTCGGGAGCGCTCACCTCTGAGCAATTTGTAAGGCACCCTCCTCCACGAACACTCTTCTCAATGAAGCTACTGAGAGCGAGGACGAATATGGCATCCAGGAACAAGTGGGCAATGAAGATCACAGTAGCATAAGTCATATTCACATGGCTCTCGAAGTCCCAGGTATTCCTCCAATGCAAGAACAATCCGATTTGGAAGAACCACGTCGCTTGGAAGAGTAACGTGTACGCAAATCCAAGCACCGGAATAATGTTGGACTTTTTCCAAATCATCAGTAACTCCAATAATATTCCGCCTTTGATCACATCTCCCAGCAACGTGTGAACCTGCAGGAATGCTCTCAAATTTTCTCAGGCTTAAACTTAGCAGGCGTCATCTGCAAGATGAATTAATGTGTTCTCACCACGACTTCGAAGGGAAGCTTGCCATGGGTATGATAGGCGAAAAGGAGCCATTCCACAACCAAGGCAAATATCCCAAAAATGTCATCAGCGTAAGGCAGTATAGGATATCCCTTATCTACCAGCGTCCCGATGAGAAAGTAGAGGAAGAAGGCGAAGTATATGGCAATGTGCTGAGAATTTTCCGGATACATCCAATTCCAGTTCTTGTCCAATGCATTCCCACATTCCACTAAAGAGTTGGAAAATTTAAATAATTATTTAATTCATGAATAAGATTAATGACAATAGGTAAGGACCCAAAACTAAAGTATTCAATCCTACGCATCTCCAAAGTATTAAGATTGTTTAGTGGTATCAATATGTGATAACACCCATTAGAATACCACGTGTCGAGGTCGAGCGTATATCCTAGTTACTTACTGCCTAGTCCATTACGTCAACATTGCCCCCCTTTTTGCTTGTTCATAAAAGCATCTAGTTTCTTCTTAAAAATAGTCACGGAGGGGGCATCCACTACGTTGTCCTCTAACGCTTTCCATGAGTTCACCACTCTAAAAGTAAAGAAGACCTGTCTCCATCTGAGCCGCACCTGTGGTTTGCACAACTTGAGTTGATTACCTCTCGTTCTCTTGCTGCCATCGAACTGGAAGAACCTACCACCCTCAACATTATATATTCCTTTAATTATCTCGAAAGCCTGGATGAGATCTTCGTTAGGTCATTCCATCTCAAATCAGCCAGAGGCCGAAGCATGACCCCCTCCGATATTGATGACAATTTGTTATGCGGTACCCCTCATACCCCGAAGTAAAAATGTACAATTTTGGTTTCGGGTATGGAGCCGTTTCGGCACAATAATTCGTTAAATTTTGTGAAATTTCGAAAAAGGGGCACCTCTTCATGCTCATGAGGGCCGAACACTTCTCGGCCTAAACGAACTCAGCAAACACCATTTTTCTTTAAAAACGTTAGACTTTCGAAGTCATTTCATATACTTTTTTCCTCGAGGCGATACTGAATAAAATAAAGCTATGCCAAATTTGGCCATTTTTTTGCATATTCAGAAATTTACAAAACGTCAATTTGTTCATAAAACCCTAACATCATCATTGTTTTTTGGAATCAACGGAAGAAGAGCTAATGATGTGTGTCCAATTTTTGTCCCAACAAATTCCACTTAAGGAGATGTGATGGCTTGAAATATGCTAAAATCACAAATTTCGCAAAAAAAAAACAGTTTTCAATTGTATGGGGCCATCTTCTATGCAGCTCAACAAACTTTAAAATTTTGCAGAATATCTGCCATTTACTTGAGTAAAAGATGAAAGCAATTTCAAAGCTCATTTATATTTTTAAACGCATACCACACATTTTTATTCAGATCCCACCTCACAATTTCTGCCATTGTTTTTAAGGCAAAAAAAAAACAGTTTTCATTCCCAGTTTTGACTTTTTTTTCTTCATAACTGCAATAAAATGAAAAATTTTGGACCTTAAAAACAACGGCAGAAATTGTGAGGTGGGGTCTGAATAAAAATGTGTGGTATGCGTTTAAAAAAACATGTACTCTGAAGAACAGTAAGGAGTGGACCTTCTCCTGATGTGAACTATAATTAGTACATTCAGGGGAAGATCAACCTCTGCACCATAGAGTAGAGAGTGCAACTAGAGGCGACACTCCGAGGGGTAGGGGGGGGGGCGAAATATCACAGCTAATTATCAACAACACTTCCATGAGGCATGCCTCGTGGCAGCTGAATCGAGAATCGATTCGTTCGAAGATTCGACCCAAATGGCTCCATCAACATAACACGCTGTCTCGTTGAGTCCGCTGCTCGGCCATGGAGGAATTGTTGATGTGCGCCCGCTAGGCGGAGGATCGACAGCGACATCTATATTGCGACCTTGTCAATGAATGGAATTCGAGCGGAGTGTCGCCTCTAGTTATACTCTCTACTCTATGCTCTGCACTGTTCTATGTCCCCTGCCCATCCACGGGACTGAAGTCTGCACGGGCAAGGATTTGGACTGGTACAGGCCGTATTAGTACTGCATATAGAAATGCCTCCACTGGATAAAGAATTTAGGGAAACCCCAATATTGGTCCGATGTTTAATTGGTCCGATTGGTCAATTAACCCCAATATTGGTCCGATGTTTTCCGTGTAGTAATCCCAATAATGGTCCAAAATGGATGTCAATACTGGACTAAGATTCCTTGGCGGTCGATATTGATCCAATATTGAGGTGCTACTGGGGGAGGGACACCGCTTGCAACCCCGAACTCTGTCGACGCTTCCCCATTTACCATTACTCGTTGCTCTCTTCCTGTCAACCTGTAACTGATCCACTCGCTCGTCCTACCCTGGATCCCGTGCGCCTCCAGTTTAACCCGCAACCTCTTGTGAGGAACGATATCGAAAGCTTTCGCAAAATCTAAACAGACGATGTCCACGGGATTCCCCTTCCTCTTCCGTCGCCCAATCGTAGAATTCGAGCAAGTTGGCTGATCATTATGACGACTCCTAAAGTCGTGCTGAGAGCCCCGGATGAGCGCGTTTCCTTCGAGGAAATCCAAAATGTGGTCCTTTAGGATGCTCTCCACGATCTTCCCTGGGATACTTGTAAGACTTACTGGCCTATAATTCCCCGGGTTACTCTTATCACTCTTCTGAATGATCGGTACGACGTTCGCTAGCATCCAGTCCTTAGGTTCTTCACCGCCCGAAAAGCTGCTTTCAAATATGATTCTTAGCAGAACCGATATTTCTTTTGCAAGTTCCTTGATGACTCGAGCAAGAATCCCATCAGGATTACCTTGTCCACCTTTAACTTCCTTATCATACTCGTGATCGTCTCCTCGGTGATGGAAATATCCGGAATGCGGACAAACCTCCTCCAAAGTCGGTTTTTCGTCGGATTCGACTGTGAAAATGGGAGCGAAGAACTCGTTAAGTATCCCAGCCACATCTTTATTACTTGCAATTGACTCCCCCCTGTCGTTCATTAGAGGCCCGATCAACTGTTGACACCTACCACTAGCATACCGTCAAAAAGTCTTGGGGTTCTTCTCAGCATCGCTAGCCAGCCGTTCCTCGACCTCCTATCTCGCGGACCTCATTTCTCGCTTCAAAGTCCTCGTGATCCTCCTATATTCTTCATATCCCGTCCTATCTCCCGTGCGCTTATACGTATCCCATTTCCGCTTTTTATCCCTGATGAGTGCTTTGATTTTACCCGTAAACTAGACCGGCTGCCTGACCAATATCATAAACTTATTGGGGTTGCATTCCCCCATAAAGCCCTGCAATAACGTATTGAATGCCCCCCTTTGCTCCTCTACTGTCAGCCCACGGAACCGCACCTCCCAGTCTATGCCTGAAACGCATTCACGTAGTCTCCCAAAATTAGCCTTCTTGTAGCTGTACGAAATCTTCGTCGGTTTGATTCAAGATTCAAGATAGTGATATCAAGAGGCGATTTCACCCATTTCGATATCACGTGTCGAGGTCGAGCGTTCCTTAATTTTAGGGTAGGCCTAACCCTCTTAAAGCTAAATATTATTGTATTTTTTTTACTATCTTAGTTGCTTACTGTCTAGTACCTAACGTCAACATTGCCCCCCACCTTTTTGCCTGACCATGAAAACATCCAGTTTCTTAAAGATAGTCACAGATAGTCACAAGGGGCAGCCACTACTTCCTCATCTAACGCATTCCACGCGTTCACCATTCTGCAACTCCCTGCAACTCTGCAACCACTCTGTACTCTGGTTTGGCGTTACTCTTCATCTGCTTGATATTCCACGTTATCGCGCAGTGGTCCGAATCTCCCAAGTTATCCTGTACCTTAATGTCTATTGCCAGATCGTCATTCGTCGCGAAAACTAAATCGAATAAAGCTTCCTCGCGAGTCGGTTCAGCCGCGTGCTGAACGAGAAGAGCATACAGAACCGCAACGAGAAATTCCCTATCCCATTCGCTCCCCCCTAGCAGTTCCGACCAATCTGTGTTAGGCATGTTTAAGTCTACGAATCACCTGCTTCGAGATTTCGCTTATCTTACGCATCAGTGCAAAATAAGCTGTTTCAGCCTCACTATAAGAGTTTGGGGGCCTATAGCAAATTCCTAGCACAATCTTCCCAGTCGCCCCACCGATCTCACACTATAAGTGTGAGATTGCGCCACAGTTAGCCGAGGTGAGATCTCTGACGCGAACGTCCAGTTCAGTTCTAGCGTACAACATGACTCCTCCCTCCTTTCTGCCGGGCCTATCTTTCCGCAAGAAGTCGTACCCTTGAACCTCCTTTTCTGAAATGTGAGAGCCACCCCAAGTCGCAGTTATTCCGAGGACATCGAAACCGTTGTCCAATGTCCCCCCCCCCCCCCCCCCCGGGGGGCGCCTATTTATTATGAAAGTTACGTTCATTCGCGTAGAAACACTTCACTCTTCCCTGAATTCCTGCATACCAGTACGCGTCGGTCTAAAGCTGCTCGCAGTGGCTGTCCCTTGCTCGTGATCCCTTGCCCCCCCCCTCCCCCCCCCCATCTAAAAGCCTTCGTCTTTTCAGCTTCTTCCTCCTTTCAATTCTTGTCAGATGCGGATGAAAAACACCGAAGAATCTGATAGCAAATAATATTCAACGTGAACTGATGTATTGAATTGAATGCAAATTGATTCGATTTATACGCATTAGCTTCAACGCTTTTCAGCCAGGAAGAAGCTGATGTTTATTTACTTATTTACCTACTTAAGCAGCGAGCGGCCAAGACGTGTGACAAGCCAAGTGTTATCTACTCGCAAGCCATTATTCATTTGTATGATAATGCTCGAGCGATTTTGCCATCAGAGGCATCCATCTCTCTCTCTGCAAATTCTGCAAAACCAAAGCAGCTCTTTCTTCCCGACTGAAAGAACATCTCTGAAGACCCTCGCATTGAAGACATGTGGGCAACAACGGGTGGTCCAAATCCGCAACAATTCCTTTTCTACGAAAATGGTCCAGATGCCCAGAATGAAAATAAATAAATAAAAGCAATAAAAATATTCGAATGGGCATTTTTTAGACTTTGCAGGCATGGGCGTTTATTCCGTGAGCATTTTTTCTTGTGGGCGTTTTTTTGTGGGCATTATTTCTAAGGGAATTTTTTCATCGTGGGTTTTTTCGTATATTCCGTCCAACACTTCCTCAAGCTAGGAACCAAAATTCAACCAAACTAGGAACTCAACCAAAACATCCAAAAGAAAAAAGATGAGTCAAGAAATACCAAATTTATTCAGCTTCATCTTGGACTATCTTGACATAGCTTTCAGTTCTTGCAGTACTTACACGTGATCAATACTAAAGGTGTTAACCTTTATCCGGGCAATGCCCCCCCCCCCAATGGTATATTTCATTTCATTACTCTCCGCAATTTTTTCAAAATATTCTTCTAATTTGATATGGGTTTCATAGACAGTCATCCATAGATTCAAAAACGAATTTTTTTAAAGTTTGGATTTGCTTTTAAGGAAAAAATTCTAAAAATGTTTGGCCTTGCCCGTTTGTGTCACAAAAATACCTTGCCCGGATATGGGTTAAAGATACACGCTAGTCAAAATCAATTCAACAGCCTTTTCTTCAGTACGATAACCTCGGCCGTCAAAAGAGACACTAGTTCGACTACATTTTCCTAGATATTTTGAAACGCTAAAACGGAACAATAAAATTTGACTCTGGAAGGGAAATAGGTAATAGGATGGTTGGTTCCGAATATGAGGTTGTTTTGCGCAAAGGTAAGCGTGAGCTGTGAAGGTAGGAATTTAATATGAATAGGGCTTCTTTCCACCACGACTCGCTCAAGAATAGGCCAAAACAGAACCATAAATGCCGGGAAAATGACAAACCTGATATTCCAACGAGACAGCAGAAGCAGATGAAGCCAGCATCCACGCCATGTCTTCCTCGAATGGGAAATCGCATTCCAGCACGGAATGGAGGCGAGGAAGGATCGAACCGACTACGATGCCATCGTACCAGATTGTTCCATATGACCCACAGTGACCACAACAGCAATGAGACTGCTGATATGGAGTGTCCAGCCAAATTTCCCATATCTTTTTCGTCTTTCCCTGATGGGGAACAATGTTTCTTAGCAGAGTATAAATAAAACGTTTCGAGCGCGTTCTAGAGGCATGACCATCCGTAGATGAGGCTCCCGTCCTTTTCTTTATTCGTGCCACATTGCCATTAAAATGGGATCGGGAGCGCTGATAAATATGCCTATCTTTCTGGACGCACCTGCATTCACTCCATCTCAACTCCATCTCGTTCTAGAGCCATTCGGAACGGAACGATATGGAGATTGTGCCTCATTTGGACATAAACGCCGGATAGAGGAAAACACTCACTCAATATTATCGACCTTCCAACTTTTCCGACCTTTTCCTCTCTACTATCATATCTTGATAACACATTCTAACACAGTCTCCTATTCAAACCCTCGATATTTTATTATGTCGACACCTTTGCAAGACGAAGAAATTGTCCACGTCCTCTCCTGAATAAAAACTTTGGTTTATACTTTGGTGTGTACTTCTAGAAACTTATACTTTCAGGAAGTTGAACGTGAGAGGAGCCTTTGTGACGGGAAATCCTGTTTTTCAGAGCATTGATAGACTAATTGATGGATGCCAAGGAACACTAGAAGTATAAGGAAGGTTTTTTCGGGGATGGCGCCGCAAGTCTGCCTCTCGCCTAGACGAGACGGGCGGAGTCGAGACTGTGGAGCCATGACGTCACTTAGCGGACATGAGGCACTCGTGCCGAGAAATCCCCCTGCTTCTCATTGCAACTTTCCCCATCTTAGTTCAACTGTTACTTTATTTCCTCACAACTGGCACACTAGGGTATATTTTGCTTTAACTATCATTACATGCTTTTCTTAAGATCCTCACGTATGAAGAACGCAATTTCTGTCGAATGTTGGGCTGTTTAGGCTGTGGATGGCCTAGCCTATGGTCTAAAATTGCGTAGCATCGTCGGCTTGGCGCGTTATGAGTAACAGGCAACTTTCGGTCTCTTTCAATAGAGGTATCATACTTTGAGACTGTTGGGATTGATTTTACTGGCAGAGCACACCTCGCTGTACTACAGCAATATTTTCTAAGAGGATGCCATCTGTGTGCGCTGTTGCCATATGTCCCAATAATGGTCGGAACACAAGGGGGACCTATATCAAATATGCATTCCCCAAGAATTCCCCCACTCGTGCCCAATGGATTAGCGCATGTCGCCGAGCAGATAGACAGGTAAATCCCAACGTTAATAGAATTTGTTCTACGCATTTTCTTGAGAATGATTTCCAACGAGATCTGCAGCATAACTCACGGGATGTCTGAGACGGAAAAAACTGAAGCCAAATGCAGTGCCTTCTCGAGGACTGGTTCATGGGATATCATGCTCCAGTTCGGAGTCTAGGAGTTTCAGGTTTTCGGTGAAGGTTACTACTAAAGAAAATCTGTTATGGTGTTTTTTATCCTGTCAAACCTTTGAAGGACACCTTTGATACGCTACTTTGAACTAATATTAATTTTTAAGACCTTAGCATCCAGCGAAAAGAATCCAGAAACGAAGATAAAAGTATTAGCTGGGAATAGGAGGAGTGATTCTGTCCAAGGTAAATCGAAGACGCTCTAGCTCTCAGATAAGGACGACCCATAGGCACAATGATAAGCTGGGATGGAACCATCTTTAGTCCATGCTGAGGGCCCGTTCCTCCTACTTTGCATTGAGATGCCAGGGTGTTTGGTCCCTAACTCCTCGAACAGGAGCAGAAATGGGCCCCATTTGTTCAAGTCTCCCGTAGATTCTAAAAAGACGTGATCGGCAGGCATTGAATTTTAGGTGGGAAGGTCCTGGCCGTAGAGACCATAAATTGA